ACGGTTCTAAACAATGGAAGATCTTACTAAAACTTCCTGTAAATATTCACACAACAAAGCCTGCACCACAAACATCACCTTTATAACATGACAGAAAGTTCCTGTGATATAAGAATTTGGCACAGATGTGATCTCTTCTTCAACTCTGCAACAATGCAAAAAGGCACAACATCAACAACTAAAATAGCAAGCCATTTCATAAAGCAAATAAAATAGCATGACCCAATGATTCTCTGCATTTCTGAAGCTCCAACACCATATTGTAATTTGCTTTCTTTTTTTTTTTTTTTTTTTTTTTTTTTTTGAGACGGAGTTTCGCTCTTGTTACACAGGCTGGAGTGCAATGGCGCGATCTCGGCTCACCGCAACCTCCTCCTCCTGGGCTCAGGCAATTCTCCTGCCTCAGCCTCCTAAGTAGCTGGGATTACAGGCATGCGCCACCACGCCCAGCTAGTTTTTTTGTATTTTTAGTAGAGACGGGGTTTCACCATGTTGACCAGGATGGTCTTGATCTTTCGACCTCATGATCCACCCGCCTCGGCCTCCCAAAGTGCTGGGATTACAGGCTTGAGCCACCGCGCCCGGCAATTTGCTTTCTTTTGAACCAAAACATATTCATTCTTCATTCAGGTGCTGTAAATCTTCATGAACTTTAAACAAAAATTTATTTTACGCTGAAATTTTATGGCATTCTTAAGAATATAAAAACTAAGGCTGAAATTACTGATCTAAAGCAGGCATCCCCAAACTTTTTACACAGGGGACCAGTTCACTGTCCCTCAGACCGTTGGAGGGCTGCCACATATTGTGCTCCTCTCACTGACCACCAATGAAAGAGGTGCCCCTTCCTGAAGTGCGGCAGGGGGCCAGATAAATGGCCTCAGGGGCCCGCGGGGCGTATTTTGGGGACGACTGATCTAAAAAATTACTGTTCTAGAAAACTGAAAATAGTTTTGAGTTTTGTCATGTAATTTTCAGAAAAACAAGAGTATTTGATAACAAAACAGTATCCATTAGTTCAATAAACATTTTGATTACCTTCTACTGGTTATTTACAAAATATAAGCCAAATCAGATTTTAATTTTGTAAAACCTGTGTATGTCAAAATATTAACTTATTTAAATAAAAGCAAGTAGAAATTTAGAAAATTTTTCCAAAAATTCTCTAATTATTGTACATTTGGGAGTATTTGACATTTTGTTTCTGTTTTTTATTTTGTTATACCTGCTGAGACAGAGTCTCACTGTTGCCCAGGCTGCAGTGCAGTGGCACTACTATCTCAGCTCACTGCAAGCTGTCTCCCAGGTTCCAGCCGTTCTTGTGCCTCAGCCTCCCAGGTAGCTGGGATTACAAGTGTGCGCCACCACACCCAGAAAGTTTTCGTACTTTTGTGTTTTTGTTTTTGTTTTGAGACAAAGTGTTGCTCTGTCACCCAGGCTGGAGTACACACTGCAACCTCCTCCGCCTCCTGGGTTCAAGCAATTCTCCTGCCTCAGCCTCCTGAGTAGCTGGGAATACAGGTGCCCGCCACTATGCCCAGCTAATTTTTGGATTTATTTTTATTTTTATTTTTATTTTGAGATGGAGTCTCACTCTGCAGCCCAGGCTGGAGTGCAGTGGTGCGATCTCGGCTCACTGCAACCTCTGGCTCCTGGGTCTCGGTTCAAGCAATTCTCCTACCTCAGCCTCCCAAGTAGTTGGGATTACAGGCACAAGCCATCATGCCCAGCTAAGTTTTGTATTTTTTAGTCGAGACGGAGTTTCACCAAGTTGGCCAGTTTAGTCTTGAACTCCTGACCTTGTGATCTGCCCGCCTCAGCCTCCCAAGGTGCTGCGATTACAGGTGTGAGCCACCATGACCAGCCTGAAGTTTTCAAAGTAGTTATATATACTAACTGGTATATGACAGTTATGAATTAATAAATTTAATCCTGTTGGCAGAGGATAGCCTAGGTGGTGTTCTAAAGTTAGTCACCAAATATATTCTTTTTTTTTTTTTTTTGAGATGGAGTTTCGCTCTTGTTACCCAGGCTGGAGTGCAATGGCATGATCTTGGCTCACCACAACCTCCGCCTTCTGGGTTCAGGCAATTCTCCTGCCTCAGCCTCCTGAGTAGCTGGTATTATAGGCACACGCCACCATGCCCAGCTAATTTTTTGTATTTTTAGTAAAGATGGGGTTTCACCATGTTGACCAGGATGGTCTCGATCTCTTGACCTCGTGATCCACCCGCCTCGGCCTCCCAAAGTGCTGGTATTACAGGCTTGAGCCACAGCGCCCGGCCAAATATATTCTTAAACCAAGCACCTTATATAGTACATTACACACTGACTTCCTAAAGAAAAATAAATAAATAAAAAGTTTCATGCAAAATAGAAACAGAAAAGCACACAAATGTATGGCGTAATGAATTACACTAAAGCCAATACCCTTGATAACTCCGACCAGGTTAAAGGAACTTTGTCATCACTTCAGAAGCCAGGTCATCACAATCTCCTCTCCATCACAATCTCCTCCCTCTTCCCGTATCTTTCCTTTCATAGAACCACAGGATTCTTTGCTTCTATCTTTACGTTCACAGAAACTTCCTTGCAGGTTTTTTTTTTTTTTTTTAGTTTTATTGTCCACGTTTGGGTGACACCAGAGCTTAGTATCATTTAAATTTTTTTTGGAATTAGTCTTTTCTCTTACTATAATGTTAATAGAATGAGTGATGCCTACACTAATTTTGTAAAGAAAAACTACCAATAGTAATAAATTATTTACTGCCTAACATGATGCAAATTTCAACTCTGAATAAGTCTTACACCATGGGTTGGTAGTATTTCACTTATACAGGGTTACTTCTATCCTTTTAGCACATTCCTTCTTTTATCATTACATATCGTGGAGGAATTTTCCTTGCATAGACTTTTTCAGCTTGTGAGCTTGTGAATTTCCTGAACACACACACACAAACACACACACACACACACAGCCCATGTATTAATATTATAATTTGACCATAAGACAAATTCCACCTATCCCAGGAAGACAGGTCAAAGCTGTATTTTCACTTTCAGATGAACAGAAAGGAATCAATTTTGTGGTTTATGAAGTCAGCAAAACTTAACTGCAAAATTAAAGCTATTATAACAACACGGTGGTTACAGCAGAGTACATATTTTAAGAGCCCTTTTATCTTTTATCCTGGAAACATGGATATAAACTATTTTGTTTTCAGATCAAAGGCAATTGTCTTTTTCAAATGTAGAGCCCTCTGAATTGTCAACCAGCATTGAAAATCTCCACTGACTTTTAGCTAGTCCAAAAATTAAAACACAATTTAACTTCCTTTTCTTACATGTCAACTGTGGCAGGGGTCTCAAATTTATAAGAAACAAACGTCCTCACTTCGGCAGCACATATACTAAAATTGGAACGATACGGAGAAGATTAGCATGGCCCCTGCGCAAGGATGACACGCAAATTCGTGAAGCGTTCCATATAGTTTAAAAAAAAAAACACACAAAAAAACCATATATATGACTTCCTAAAGTAAAACTTTCTTAATGTACAATATATGAAAATCGTGATGCATACAAGATCCTTAGTTAATACAAGACACTCTTTTATTTACCTGTCAATTCAAAATGCTTCCTGTCCACTGTGTGCCAAGCACTGTGTTAGTTATTAGATTTACCGCGCACTTTTCCTAAAATGCAGTCACGTGTATAGATTTAGTAATATTTTCCTTAGGCATAAAGACACTACAATCATATTACATGTATGTGAAATGAACGATGTGAAAACACACACCCGTGGAACGTATGTACATAAACGACATGGACTTAAAATTGTGCTTCCCCTAAAGACTTTTCATTATTTCCTTTAATACTTTATAAATTATTAGACCGTATGTTATTCCACGCCTACATCAATTAATAATGCAGAAAATAATTCAACCAAATCCGAACTGTTAAGTCTTACTAGAAAACAAACACTAAAGAAGTCCCTACACCAGACTTATTTTCAAAGAGCTTCCTAGAACAACTCTGCCCCATGCCCAATAAAGTGAAAGCTGGAAGCAATTAAGAAGAAAAACACACTTTAAAACAAAATTTTTTTTAACACATGTGGACAGAGCACCGAAACGCAACGCGAGGCGGTGTGGCATGATTCTGTAAAGTGGACGCTGAACGGTAAATTTCCCAACCCCCAATCCAAAACAAAGGAAAACTTTAAACATGTTGCGGTTTTCAATCAAACCAAGTCAAGCCAGAGACTCACCCACTCGCCCCACACACCCGCTCCTCTCCCCGCACAGCTGCTACCGGCGTTAGCCGGCACACGGAACCCCAGCCTTTGGGACCGAAGGGGGCCGCCTCCCTCGCCCCTACTTCGGCCGTGCGGGCAAAAATAAACCTCGCCCCCACGTCCCGGGGCGGTCCACGCGACCCCAAAGACAAGGGGTGGGGAGTGTCCCCACGCCCCTGAGAACCTCAGGTCGAACTTGGGCGGGACCCGGCAGGACTGCACAGGGCAGGGACCGAGTCAGGGGGCGAGCAGGTAGCGCGGGGAAGGAGACGAGCCCGCCGGGCGAGCCGGGGGAGGGGAGAAGTTTCTTCCCAACTTCCCGACTCGGGCCCGCGGGGGCGGGGAACCGCGGCGGCGGCGGCTCCGGGCGCCGGGGCCTAGCGCTGTCCCTGCCGGGGAGGACCCCTCCGTCCGCGGGGCCCCACTGGGTCCTTACCTGTTTTATGGTCGCGCTCTCATGAGTCGCTGCTGCCGCAGCTCGGGGTGGCGGGCGGGGGCGGCGGGCGGAGGCGAGGCCCGCGGGCCCTCTCCCTCCTCCACCTCCTAGTCCCGGGGCGTACGGCGGCAGCAACGACGGCAGAGCCGGCCCGGGACGCGCTACTTCAGGAGGAGGGAGCTCCAGGGCTCCCCACCCGCCGGCCTCACTCTCCACCTCCTCCCCTCCCGGCCCCGCCCCCTCACTCCTCACGGGGGCGGGCGCGGGGCGGGGGCTGCGGCTACCTGCGCGCGCCGCTGCCGGTTCACCGGAACTCGGGCCTCGCCCGCCCGGCTCCGGAACCCCCGGCTTTTCGGCGCCGACGCCCCCCTCGCGTCCCCTCCACGGACTCCAGGCCGCTTTGCTGTGGTCAGGTTAGGCGGCCAGTCCGTGTCCTTTTTCCCGACCCAACATGGCGGCGGGGTCCGGGGCGGATTCCCCGGGCGGTGCAGACTGAGGGGGCGTGAGGAGGAGGAGGCGCTTCCCCGCCGGGAGAGCAGGCTCGCGGCGCCCCTGCCCACCCGGGAACCCACCGACGCTCGGGTGCCACGGGGATTGAATGGGGCGCCCCAATTCCGCCCCTCTGCCTTTCTCTTTTCCTTGGCCCGGCTCTGCGTAGGACCCAGGGCTTTGGGGCTTGTTTTTGTGGGGAAGGACGGGGTTGACTTGATTTGGTTGACTGTTTGCTTCTGTGCACTAAGCTTCCGCACTCTTTGTCGTTAGTAGTAAAATCTCAGCCCAGCCGCGTGAGCCGGGGGCGTTACTCACACCCTCATCACCATCATGATCGCTGTCCAGAAAACGTTCACGTCTGGCCTCCTTCCGAGGCTGGGATCCTGTCCCTGCCCCCAGGAGCTTCCTGTTGACTGTAGGTCGAACCAGCCTTGCCGGGAGGGTAACCAAAGCTGAGTTGTGTTTGGCGACTATCCCAGTAATGGTGCCTTTGGCTTATGTTGGGACAGCATATTTCTATATGTTGCTGGCGGTAGACTAGTGAGGGAAGTGAGACAAGTATGGGTATCCTGCTCGACAGTCGTGGAAACAGCGACCCCGAAACTGGAGGAGCCACAGCTGGATGGAATCGTATCCATCTGAATCCATGCACCTTCCTTTGAGCCTTGTAGCCAGTTGCGGAAGAAGGGGGAGGACCCGGAAGGATGGGGTGGGGGCGTAAAGATGAGGGAGGGTTAATCAAGGTCCTCAGGTCCTCGTGGAGCCTTGAGGCTCTTCTGCTGCAGTCAATTCTGCCTTGTCAGACTTTTCGAGTAACTTCCTCTCTGTATTTCCTCTTTGGTGGGGTTATCAGAATTATTGTGTGACTATTGGTTTCCTTTGCGGTTTTTAGTGAAATTCAGAATCATCTTCAACAGATAAGAAATAGTGCAATCTTATGTGTCAGTGTTCCGGTATTCTAGGAACTTAAGGAAATGCGTACAAGGGTTTGAAAACTTTTCTTCAGCTCACTAAATGAACGAAAGGTAGGCATAGGCATTCAGAGAAACAAAAAGATACACATAATGTGGAACGATGCCGTATTTTCTTTTTTTCTTTTCTTTCTTTCTTTTTTTTTTTTTTTTTTTTTTTTTTTTTTGAGATTGAGACTCACTCTGACACCCAGGCTGGAGTGCAGTGGCACAATCTCGCAATCTCGGCTCACTGCAATTTCTGCCTCACTGGTTCAGGCGATTCTCTTGCCTCAGCTTCACAGGTAGCTGGGAGTACAGGCATGAGCCACCATGCCCAGCTAATTTTCGTATTTTTAGTAGAGACGGGGTTTCACCATGTTGGCCAGTTTGGTCTTGGTCTCTTGACCTCGTGATCTCCTGCCTCAGCCTCCCTAAGTGCTGGGATTACAGGTGTGAGCCACCGTGCCCCGCCTAATTTTGGTATGCTTAGCAGAGACAGTGTTTCACCATGTTGGTCAGGCTAGTCTCGAACTCCTGACCTCGTGATCCCCCTGCGCTGGGATTATGGTAGTGAGCCACCGTGCCCAGCCTGCTGTATTTTCTTTAGCTCCTAAAGCTTCATTTGGGCCAGGCCTGTGGCTCACAACTGTAATTCCAGCACTTTGGGAGGCTGAGGCAGGCAGATCACCAGAGGATGGGAGTTCGAGGCCAGCCTGACCAACATGGAGAAACCCCTTCTCTACCAAAAATACAAAATTAGCCACACATGGCGGCACATGCCTGTAATCCCAGCTACTTGGGAGGCTGAGGCAGGAGAATCGCTTGAACCCAGGAGGCCGAAGTTTCAGTGAGCCCAGGTCAGGCCATTGCACTCCAGCCTGGGCAATAGGAGCAAAACTGTCTAAAAAATACTTCACACACACACACACACACACACACACTTCATTTGCCACTGTCTCAGGCATTGAAATTTTATGTAGGTTTATATTCAGCTTTTATTAGAAAATTCCTTGAGCTGTTGCCTTACTTCACTAAATAAAATAGAGATGTTTTCATCTTTCTAAATACTCAGTCTCCAAAAATCAACTCTAAAATAGGCTGGGCACGGTGTCTCACACTTGTAATCCCAGCATTCTGGGAGTCCAAGACAATCACTTGAGTCCAGGAGTTGGAGACCAGCTTGGGCAACATGGGAGACCGCCTCTCTGTTTAGTAAAGTACATTAAAAAATAATAATAAAATAAAGTAAAATAGTAGTTTGCCCCAGTTTAAGGGGTAAGGTGGCTTGGAATATGTTCTACATGGAGTTTTAAAGTTGGGAGAGTATGTTAGACTGTCAACTACAAGTTATAGATTACATTGACTTACTGAGTGCTTTTCTTTGCCCTTACTTTGGTTTTTTAATTACCTCCTTTCCTGATTTCTTTTTCAGTGTATTCATCATCCAATGCCAAACTTCAGTCTGTAAATAACCTGGAAAGTTTTCAGTTTTATATTTAGTGGCTCACTTGTTTCCAGGAATTTTTTTTTTAAATTTTTTAATGAGGAAGAGAAAATCTGGAAAGTCTCACTGAGTTTGGTATAACAAAAATTGCTTTTAATCTGTTTATCCTGAAATAGACAAATAAGCTTGCCCCTACTTTTTCCTCCTGCACAGCATAGAGGTGTGGTATGTATATGTGTGTTATGGAGTGATAAGGAACTTAAGTCTGGAAACCCCTGGAAAAGTCTGCTGGAGGAAAAAGCTAGGGGAAAGCTTTAAACAAACAAAATTTATAAGATATGTTAGGTCCCTATAAAAGTAAAATGTTTTCATTTATGTATGTTTATTAATGCTTAAAATTATTTGGCTGGAAGTTTGAAAGATTGAAAGTTGAACTAGGGCTCACTTAATACCACCTTGGAACCTGTGATTCTACCAGGAAATGTTTTGTTCAGGATAAACCTCTCCTACATGCTATCAGTGATATGCTGCTGCTGCTGCTTCCGTCACTGAGGCTATGATAATGATTTTCTCTTCCTGGTAACAGTAAAAAAGGCTGCAGCCCACAAGGTGTATTGCCTTTTCTCTAACAACCATCCCCCTCACCACCTCCTCATACCCATTCAGCGCCTGATGTTATCTGTACCACCTTAGTCTTGCCTTTTCCACCTGGCCAAGACTGCTCATATGCCCAGTTAGGAAGAATATGAGGACCCCTCTAAGCAAAAATTTAGAAGATCAGGAAAAAGGAAAAGTATTTCTCCTTGAGTGTTAGGCCCATTGTAGCAAGCTCAGTGGAGAAATGCACCAACCTATCATGTTCTCAATGCTCCCGATGTCTTTCTTCATTGCCTCAAGGACTGAGGTTCCTGTTTTACAGTTTTATTTCCCCCAACTGGGCAAGGACTGTCTAAGTGAGGTAAAGAAATGAATATATTAGGACAATGAATAGATACAAGGCATAGATGTCAATCAAATATGTCTCGCAATTAATAAATGTGAAACATGGCAATCTTACATGAACTTCAGCAAGTCTACCTCCATCTTCTTGCTCCCTTTTGTTGCTCTCTCTAGCTTTTAACTTCTTCAATACCTGGTTTACAGTCTTAGAATTTCACCATGTGCCCATTATGCCTTCTCCACTCTAGAACTATTTTCTGGCAGTATACTCTTTGCTGCTGGAATCTACTTTGGGGATATCTCTTGTTTTATTTCTGATTTCAATTCTTTCTAGTTCTGCAGTTTGATGCAGGCCTCTTGTATCTACCAAAGTCCCTGGTTTCCGATCTAGCTTCTGATACCACTCTGCTTATTCCTAGGTAGATTTACCCACAGTTTTAGACTTTCATAGGCTCACCTTGGTTTCTCACTCTGTTTAGCTACAGCAGTTTCTTTTTTTGTTGTTGTTTTTTGTTTTGGAGACGGAGTCTCACTCTGTCATCCAGGCTGATGTGCAGTGGCACATTCTTAGCTCACTGCAACCTGTGCCCCCCAGGTTCAAGCAATTCTTCCTCAGCCTTCCGAGTAACTGGGATTATAGGTGCCTGCCACCACGCCCGGCTAATTTTTGTATTTTTAGTAGAGACAGGGTTTTGCCATCTTGGCCAGGCTGGTCTTGAATTCCTGATCTCATGATCCACCCGCCTCAGCCTCCCAAAGTGCTGGGATTACAGGCATGAGCCACTGTCCTCGGCCAGTGACAGCAGTTTCTACACTGGATGAGAACCTTACATCCTCTCACGTGCCCTCTGCCAAGTAGAATACAGCATGTAGTGGACACCTCTTTAGGGTGCCTGTTTAACTAAATAAAGTTCCTCTTCTCTGAGAATTAATTCTTCAATAGGTGGCATGTAGGTCTATGATCTGAGTACTGCTAATCCCAGGCTCCAGGCTGAAAGTTTGAATTTTGAGGAGTAACACAAAAGTGACTTGGTGATTATTCATGGTGGCCATGGTGGAGTTGAGCCAAGTGGGAGAAGGTAAGTGTCCAGGGGTAGAGGATTCCAGTGCTGGTGATGCCTGCGTCGTGAGCATACCATCCCCGTGGTAGAACCTGGACTTTGTCTCGCCTTCCTTGCTTCCTGCTTGAGCTGCTCCTCTAATCTTCCTGTTGATTCTTACCTTCCTCCAATAAATTTCCTTTCTGCTTAAAGAGAGACCATTTTTGTTCTTTGCCTATGAAAACCATTACTTAGTCTTTGCTACTTACTTGTACAGCCAACAATAGACTCAGGAGCTGTGAGGGCAGCAACTCCTACCACGTGATCAGAGAGGAGGTGGGAGTGGGATGGGGGATCCAGTTTTCACAGAAGATGAAGCAGGCACAGCCAGAGGCAGGAGATAAGAGATTGTGAGGCCCCAACACTGAGACTTGTGATTTGTGCCACATCTAAGACCCCAAACCTAGAAGAGAGCTGACAGGTTTGTCCCTCCTGCTTGCCCATGGCAGTCATGGCTTTTAGACTATGGCATAGCATATACTGTC